GGCATTATCAGGCTTAAAGGCCAGGCACTCCATATGTGTTTCGGTATTGATCTGAGCACTCGTGTAACTACTAATAAAGCTCGAGGGACCTTTCTTTCTGAGTTATTGGCTACCGGTTTTACTTCTCTTGGTCAGGTCTAAAGGTCTAAGGGGAAGCCCTTTTCTTACTCTTCAACTCCCGGTAATTTCTTCCTTTTTCTATCGAAAGAGAGTGAGTGCAAACCTTAACTTAAGGGGTCGTGAGCGAGCAATGAATCAGGCATCGGTCGTTCCAGCGGTAGAGTCCTTCGGATGTTGAATGGTCTGGTCAACTCGTTCCGTTCCTGTGTAGAAAGGAAGTAACCCGTGGGTATCTTCTATTGATTAACGAACTGGGAATCAGAGCTCGCTCTTCCTTTGCTTTGGATCTTCGGTAACTGGAGCATCCATGAAAGCGAGGTCTCTCCTGCTGCTTTGCCTTTTTTGCCACATACTAAGGGCCCCTCTCTTTTTCCTTATCGCCTTAGCCTAGTAATGAGGATGGCAGGAAAATCGGCATTTCGAAAACAATTAATAGAAGAAAGTTCCCATAATCTTCAGGAAGGACGAAAGCCTTTCTCTTTGGGGGGACGACCAGTGTGTGCTATAGTAATGTATGGCGCTCACTCTGGAAAGGCTGAAGCCTGTCTCCTTCTATACTATAGTTCGTCTGTAAGGCTTCATTCAGAAATGAAAGGGCCGCCTTTTCTGGGCGTAACCCCTGATTCACTGACTGGTCTTCCAGAGCGTCTCTTTCCTTGTATATCTTCGTAACCCATCATCTGGTCTTCGATGGCTCAAAGCGGGGTCTTGTGACCATGCCTTCCCGCTCCAGACTTCTTTCTGGTCGTTTTGGCCCCCTTGAAGGCATAGTCTTTCACCCGGGCGCAACCCTTCTTCTTTCCGAACTAAAAGGGGAGCGTTGGTTTGCTGTGTGGGTGGTAGGTCTTCCTTATTAAGTGGTCAGTGTTGGTAATCTTAGAGCGCCAAGCGCAGGAATGGGAATGAAAGCGGTGCCCCTTCTATTAGACGTCGGACACTCTTATTGTAGAATGTTAGGACTGGGTTGGAGCCTGCAGGGACTTCTTTACATAGCCGAACGGGCCTTTATCTCTTTCTCTAGTGAAAGCGTTCGTAGAGGCCTTCTTCTTTAGTGGCCAACCCGCATGGCTGGTTTTGTAATTTTTTATTTATCCTAGCTTCAAAGCGGTCTTCTTCTAATGACAGAGGCCTCCTATAATGGATCAAGTTGCTATATGGAAAAGCTTTGTTCTACCCCTAATGTTTTATGGGTCTGAGGTCATCGGCCTCCATTTGCGTGGGTTTTGGAAAGCAGACTTTTGATCCTTAATTTTTAAGGTTGGGGACTGATTCTACTGTAGAATATATTGATCTTCCAGTGATAAAGAGGAGCCCTCGTGTCCCTTCCTGAATCAGGCGTCAGTCTTTCTCATGTTCGAGGTCGTCCCCCTGCTTATCTGTCATGGCGTTCCTTGGCTAAGTCTGAAAGCCCATTTGTGTCAAGACTGGCCTACCATTCTTCCATCTCCGTGTCCCACGTAAGAGAAGGGTCGTCTCTCTCCTTGTGAGAATTCTTATAGGCTATTCAAGACCTTGTGCTGAAGTGGCGTAACTGGCTCATGGAGTCTTTTTTTCTTTCTCTTTAGTCAATCGTCTTCTTCGGTCATAGTAGGGCTAAGCCCAGAGGCTTCAACTGCAAGGCATCCCTAAGATTCTATCTTGAAAGGATTTTTTTTTCCTCTCGACAGAAGGGCTGTGGTTTCTAAGTCGAGGCATTTCATCATTCACTGGTAGTGAGAGCTGAGCTTCCCTTTGTTCTTTGGTCCCAGGGCAAACCAAACCCTACCTAAATAAATTCCCTTGCGCCAACTGGTAGGGCGTCCTGTGGAGATGTTGGACCAGTCCAATCGGTAAAGGTAGAATTAGTTTACTCATTATCAGCCAAGCGGCTGGGAATCGGAAGAGGAAGAGGAATCGGAATGAGAGCGCCTCACTCGTTCTCTTTCTGTGATTCGGTCCTATTTGAGACTACTAAGGCACAAGTGAAGCTTCTGGAATGTCTTTCTTTCTCGTCAAACCGGCAGGAACCAAGCATTGATTTCATCCTGTCGAAAGATCGTCTTTTTGGTATGGTAAGGACTGGATCCTTGTTATATCGATCGTGCGAAGTTGGTATATCTCAATGCAATGCTTGGTTCTTGCCTGGAATGGGTGAAACTTAATCTGTGGTCTTCTAGTCGGTTTGTTAAAGGAGACTTAGCCACCTGGATTTGAGCCCCTTTGTCGTAGTTCTCCAGTAACTTCGGCAGTGGTAGTGAGTCAAGGGTCAACTCCTTCTTCTTCGTCCGGTTTACTCATAAGGTCCAAGGGCCTCTTTCTTTCCTATGTCTCTTTTTAAGAAGATCAAGATCAGACCGAGAGCCAAATCCAAAAGCTTAATTAAAAAGCAGTTGATCTTGATCCAATTCCCGATGCATAGGGCGAAATCTGGTTGAAGCCCCCAAATGGGAACCTATCGAACGGGAATTTTTAGTAGTGCTGCTCGCTATAAATCTCTTTTTGAGGACAGCGGACGTCAAAAATTTGTGTGAATTATGAATCTTCTTCGATGGTCTTTCTGAGAAGAAGAGCATATCCACCTTGAAGACCTTCTGGAAAGTCGCCTATGGAAAGAGCATACCCAACCAATATGAGCCTGTCCGAGACTTGCCATTCCCATGGAAGAAAGTTTCCCTGCGTATTGATTCATTACCGACTGAACGGAAAATGCTTGCTTCTATTCCCTCCCCGTTTTTTTTATAACTTATAAGGGCGATGAACCGTGATTGTATAGCTGTACGGAATCCCTGGGGAGTGAAGGGATAGGTGAAAAAGGAGGGGGTGGAAGAACTAAGGAAAGTCATCCATAAGATTCCATACCTTTCTGGCTATACGGAAGGGCGGAATGGATCATCAGAGGGTGGAAATTGACTCCAATTGGAAGACTTGCTTTTCCATAGGGATTGCATGCCCATTTTAGGGATAAATAACTTTTTTTATGGAGAGAACACGAGGGATGAGCGACGATCGGCCTACCTAAGTTTTGACTAGTCATCATCGGTTTACCCGCTTGCTGAAACCACCCTCCATAGCCGATTTGATGGTTGGATAGCCACTCAACTCTTCACTAGACTTCCTGTATCCCACTCCCCTCTCTATCTCTCTCGACCCATTCCTCGGAATCGGATTCCGAACCGGAGTATGTTGGGCTGGAATGCCTCCATTCCCATCTCTTTATGATCTCTGGGCCTTCCCGCTATGAGAGATTCCCGGCGCAGAAGCATATTAATATTAATGCAGAATACTAGAATATTAATTTACCCTCTCCATATAGGGGTAGGAATCCCTAGAAGAGGATAGAAGGTAATTTTAAGTGGAAAAGCATGCGTGATAAGGATACTCCTCTATGCGAATGTTCTGGCTTTCAAAGGACGGGTAAGGGACGGGGAGGAGTAAGGGAGTTTCGGGAACAAAGCCCCCGGATTTAAAAGTTCAGCCCTACCCTAGTGTATAATCTCTTTTCCCTATCTAAGCTATATCAACATAGCCAACTAGAAAACTCATGCGCTTGTCAATTCATTCTTGGTGTAATACGTAAATGATTGGTGTCAGAATTTTTAACTGATCAGGTGTGATCAGTCTCATCCGTGTAAGAATTAGGAATTCCTCTTCCAACTCGTCCCGGAATGGGCGTTATGGCAAAGAACAAGAAGAAAACAAAAGGAGGAATTTGTCCAATAGTAACAAATGGTGCCTCCACAGGTTGACATCCGATCCAACCTAGTAGTAAGCGATCCGCCAAAAGCAACCAAAAGATTCCTTGGTGAATAGGGCGAAAACTTGAACTACGCACATACATACTTTTTAAAAAAGGTAAAGCCAACAGACATATAAAAACTGGTGCTATTGCGGCTACACCTCCCGATTTGTCAGGTATACTACGAAGAATGGCATGGATCGGTAGGAAATACCATTCCGGCACAATATGAGGCGGGGTGGGCATCGGATTAGCAGGTATATAATTGTCGGGATGCCCCAAAACATTAGGAGCATAAAAAATCCAAATGGAAAAAAAGATAGCAAAAGCTACCCAACCTACTAGATCCTTTACATAAAAATAAGGGTAAAAAGAAATGTGATCCATCTCTGAATGTACACCCAATGGATTATTTGATCCATATTGATGCAATGCGGCCAGATGAAGAAGACTGGCGCCTACTAAAATAAAGGGGAGTAAATGATGAAGACTAAAAAAACGATTTAAGGTGGCATTGTCCACGGAGAAACCACCCCAAAGCCAAGTCACTATGGTATCTCCTACTACAGGTATGGCGCTAGCTAAGCTTGTAATTACTGTAGCTCCCCAAAAGCTCATCTGACCCCAAGGTGGTACGTATCCTGTAAAAGCTGTCACAATCATTAATAGGAAGATTAAAACTCCGAGACACCGAACAAATTCCCTAGGACTGCTATAACTCGCATGATATAGACCACGAAAAATATGAAGGTGAACCACAATGAGAAACATACTTGCCCCATTAGCATGCATATAACGGAGCAACCAGCCCCCTTCAACATCTCTCATAACGTGTTCTACGCTGTTGAAAGCTAGATCCACATGAGGTGTGTAATGCATAGCTAAAAAAACGCCAGTCACTATCTGAATGACTAAACAAATACCAGCTAACGAACCGAAGCCCCACCAATAACTAAGATTGCTCGGGGTTGGATAATCTATCAAATGTTGATTAAGTGTGGAGGATATAGGTTGTTTAAGAAGAGAGAATCGTTGGTTCCTTATAGTCATTTTTTAATCTTTCCTATCGTGACAACTCTGGTTCCCCCACATTGTTTTCGTTCTGGGGCCCTACTTATAATTTATATAATAAATAATTTATTATATAAAGTAGCCTTTCTTTCTTCCACCTCCGAAGGATGGAGGGGGTATACAGCGAAAGAAGCGAGCAAGGGGTCGTCCCATCCTGGGTTACTGAAGAGTCGTCCGACTGCTCGGTGACCGAATCAGAGGGGTTTTTACCGCTTTCTCTTCTCTCCAGCACTCTCGGACTGATCATCTTACTGCAACAAAGCAAGCTTAGGAATGAATCTAATGGAAATTTAGGTCTCTGTCCGCTTGGAAGATTCTTCTTTCCTCTTCGGTGAAAGAGGGCAAAGGTGTGTGGGAGAAAGAAGTCTAAAAGGAGAGAAGATTTCGTCCACCAAGCGGGTTTTTTTAGAGTGCGACCCCTAAGCAATTGGAGGTTCTCGTCCATCTCTTGGGGGTCCATATCATCTGAAAACTTTTCCTCTTCGATTAGCATAGCTAAGAATAGGATGACTCAGCGTCAGGAAAAGTCAAGTAAGTAAGCCCCCCCTTTTGCCTTGAAAGAATTTTCTTTCGCTGCGCCCTGAATCAATCAAAAAGCTTCTTTTTTTTTATTTGATTCATCCCATTTAATTTGGGCGAGAGGGAGGCTGTGAGTCACCTGGGCTACGGATTTGCCGGTTGATTCTCGAAATCACCTCTTGATAAAAAAAAAAAGGCCCTCGGTCCCGACCAAAAAATGAATAGGAAGCGGGGCGGGCGAGGGTCTTTCATTAAAGGGGGGAAAAGAGGGGTGGGGCTTTGTTCTGGGGGTGGGGCCGCCTTGCGCAGCTTTAGAAAGGAGAGAATTTCAGTTCAGAAAGTCACTCTCTCCAACCTTTTCTATCTATCCTTAGAAGTTGGGCGAGATAAAGTCAATATGATATTTGCGTTGGTTTTTCCAACGAAACTAAGCACTTTTTTTTCTTTATCATTCGGAAGGCTCAGTCCCACACTCTGACTTCAATGATGGGAACAACCTCCGCACTCCGGCGCTCCAATGAACAACAGTTCTCCGCCTGACTTTATTTAGTTAGAATAGTGGTCGATCCCTCGGGAGTTACATTCGTAACTTAATGTTATGTTCACGCGGTGATCTTATATCCAAGAGTACTACCCTGTACGTAGTCTATGTCTGGGGAGCATACTTGACAGGAGATAGACACAGGCGGTAGAGAGGTCCCCCACTTCGATTCCTGCCCCGTTAGCATCTCCGATCCGAGATAAGGGATTACTCCGTTAGGTCTTTTCTAGCTTAGGAGCCGGCCGGTAATGGACCTACTTACTGTGGACCAGCTGCAGAGCTAACCCTTGTTCTATTGGTTTGGCGGTTGCTACCAAGACGATTTCTTTATGCCCATCAAAGGACCTCGAGATGCTAATCCACGAAAAACGATACGAGAAATTCGAAAGAACTCATATACGGAACGAGGGCGACCCGTGGAAATACATCGGTTTCTTACTCGTGCAAAGGAACTCTTTCTTGGCAACTTGGACAACTTATAACGAAGTTTGTCCCGCATATCACTAGGAAGATCGGAATCTTTACAAAAGGCTTTATAAAGCTTTCGTCTCAATTCATATTTAGCCGCGAGCAATCTACGTTTGTGATCTCGTATATTTCGCTTCTCCGACATCTCTTACTGAGTTTCTCCCTCATCTTTTTGCAAAAAGCCGCTCCACGGTGGTAAAGTCTCATCTTGTGTGTTGGCCGAAGTGACAATAGTCACATTGAACCCTCGAATATGTTCGAAGATCTCGAAATGATCTTCCAGTTCCGGGGAGAATTCGCAAAACTCCGTTTCCATCGAGAATTGAATGGAGTTTTCCCGTATTTCGACCGGAGAATCTAAAAGAGACATTACTGTCGAGATTCTGACCGAAAAATTAGACATTCCATGCCCTCGGAGAGTGCTTTGTCGTGCTAGGTCACTGACATATCCTTTGTCTTTCTTTGACCCCAAGAATGGATTGGATCGAAACGACTTTCCTGTCGAACCCCTTTTTGTCTGTATGAATTTCTGACCGCGCGGAATCTCCATAGCCAATTTTCCATTTTTTATTATGAAATCATAGGGTGCCTTTGGTACTACTCTTATTTGACACGATCCAGGAACTTCCATAACGTTGGCGTGATTCAGTTTGAGCAACGGATCCTGACGTGATACATCTTCGTAATGAAAATTGAGTGGAAACATAGTGATTGATTGATCAAAAAAAAATTCCCTCCATACAGACAGAAAGAGAGTCTTTCCTGCACGGAGTAGTGAAGAACTATAGTGAGATGTGCTTGGTTGTTGACCAACAGAAAGCATGGGAAAAAGACCAAAGATATCATAGGCTCTCTTCTTCATGGGAGAGCGGTATACCTAAAAAAGCCCTTATTAAAGAAGATAGGCTTCAGTCATCGTCGAATAGGGGCTTTTAAAGAGCGTGACTCTTCTTTTTGAAAAAAGGTAAGACTCTTTATATACATACACAATTTTCAGTCTACTTTTCCACTCCACAAGGCATGCAAGCGCGGCCCTTCTCTTATATACGATACCATTCGCCATGGATGATACTCTTCAAAGAGACAATAACCTATTTTCTTGCAGCCTATTCTCCATCTAGTGTTCTGGCTCTAAACAGTTATATCCTCTTTGCAGTCCTTTCAGTCAGTTCCGATTCGGTTAGCTACTTAGGGTGAACCACACAGAGGCGATCTCGAACATCACTCTAAGAAACTCCAAAACGGGAGTTCAAGTTCACTTTACAATTTCCGTCATATCCAGTACCATCAATACCGGCAGAGGAAGGAGAGGTACTATCTCCCACCTGAACCTGACTCACGGTCGCTCCACGGGAAACCACCACTAGGAGACGAGGCAAGCCGAGGGTTTCGAGGCAGATATCGCCATGACACGGTAGTAGGGAACCCGGTCCTTTTAAGCAGCACTAGAGAGGGGATAGAGACTCGAGACTTCAAACTAATGTCCTTCTTCCTCTGAGCCAGGTTCCTTGTAGAGTCTATCTACTAGAGACATTAACAGTGCTCACCCGCTTGGGAAAATTCAATACTAGAATTGAACGCCCTCCATCGTACAGTTCGGCGGACACGGAAGAGCTAGTTCATAGGGCTCGTGCAGTCATGGGACCGACGGTGAAAAGCTCGGGATGATGATGGGGCTAACAACCGGTCCTCCAAGAAGCTAGATCTCTTGGATTAATTCTTTCCCTTGTAGCCAAGTCATACTCATTCCGTACGACGAAGGATTGGGCCTTCGAGGTCGGAACTCATCACATTACTGGGTAGATCAGTTGGGGGATAAGGGTTCTAGTTCAATAAAGGTCCTTCTCATTATATCGAATAATAAGTTAGGCCTGTAGTGCTCCAGCGATGGGGATTCTTACTTCCTTACTGGTGCTTAGAAGCCCCCCTACTTGAGATGAACATTCATATTCTTGATTCCCTCCTGGCCTGGCTTAGCTTATATATGAGAAAGACCTGCGGGTGAGCGACTACCTGTGATAGACGAATTCGCTCCTACTTCTTAACCGACCGAATCGGGGTTTTGAACCCATGTCGAAACCAGGGAGGTTGAAGACAAAATACATTCAAATCAAAGCTAAAAATAAAATTGGAAAAGATTGGGTTGTGGAGGATGATTCGAAGTTATCCATGCTGTAAAAAAAAAAAAAGCGCAAGCTTAACTTAACTCGATCATGACCTTGACTTATTGGATTCAACCCACCTGAATATCTCCTTCCCTTTCATATGGATTTTCCCTAGAGCTCTTTCTATTATAATAGAATTACTATTACTGGGCCTAAAAGACTGCTGATTTGCTCCATTCCGGTTTGCTTAATTACTGGGCGGGCCTAGCCCTCTTTCTTTGGATTCAACTGAGACGAATTGCTCGTTGACGGCTTAGATCACCACGGCATCACCTTGTAACAGAACGTGCCCTCCTACCTGATATGGTGATAAACGCTGTTTTCTCTCGGTCTTCTTTTCTTCGGCCATCTTGATCTGGTTATATCAAGAGAAAGCATCCATAAAGGACAGCATCCCGTGGTGCGCTTCGATCCGAGGGGATTATCGGGCTTAGAGGTATGGATGGTCCCCACTAAGGCTTGCCTACTGCTTTGTTACCAGAACAGGATCGATTGAATCTTTTACCAGTGCCCATGCTCCTACTCCTTTGGCTGGTGCCAAATAAAAAAAAGAAGTGGAAGCTTGCCCAGTAGGCAGTTAGATGTAACCATGCTGGCAGTACTATGATAGCCTTAGAGCTTGAAGGTCTTTTTGTTGTCCCTAGGAACGTGATGCTTAGATGCGAGGTTGAGATGACGGAAAGACAGAATAGGATAAGCAGCTGTAAACAGGGCATGCCACAGCTGTCTTGGGCTATTGTCTTCTAATACAATTACAAAGTGGTAGCAAGCAGCTCTTTAAGCAGCTGGTTTGAATCGATCAAATGTGAACTATGAGACGCTTGCATTTGCCGGGAGATTTTCTGCTCTTTTTCTGTCGTCACACCAGGGATTTGCCCCTGAAGTAGAGAGTAAGGGCTGGTCTTCATCTTGTCACCTTACCTGGAGGAATTCCTTTGATCTTCGAGCCGATTCTCACGTTTAGGTTGGTCTTTCGAATGAAAGTGTCGATTGGTTTGTGTGAAGCCACCTAATTTCACTCCTTTTATGCAGCATTTCGGCTGTAAACTCTATTACCTTTCCCAGACACTGAGGTTCGCTAGCCATCTTCCATTGACGAGTTGACACCCGCCAAGTCCTTTCGTTCGACAGAAGTAAACTTCGGGCGAAACTCCTTGCCCTTTGTTTTTCTAGTGGGCTGTTGCAGAATGAGTCTATAGTTCTGGCCTTGGGAATCTATTCGTCCCTGCGATGATGGCTGCCAGAAGCATCGTGGGGCTTGTCAAGGTACAGCTTTTCTGACGGATTTAAAAATGGAAAATCCAAGCTCTTTAGCTTTCCCCATCTGCTATAAACTATTCACCTATTTTTTTTTAAGTCAAAATCGAAATGGAGCGTAACTCTGCTCATCAAAACTGGGATTTTAAGCGAAAGTTTGATCTTCCGGTACGCTTTCCCTAAGGTGTAAAAGACTTTTTAAGTTTTAGTAGTTAACAACGTTGTCAACTCGTAACCGGGGACTATAAGTCCGCCTCTCAAGACTACTCAATCCCTGCTGTATGCCTTGCTGCTGACCTTATTGAGACAATGGGAGTGCGTCTCATTTGAATAGAAAGTCTTCCGACTGAACAAAGGGAGCAGGCTAGACACTCAAAGAATTCGATACAGCGGGGGGAATGAAGGTCCCCCGATCGGATAAGACTCTATGTTTTTATGCTGACAGGGGAAACTGGCTTGCAGAGTATGTCTTTGATGACCGAATGAACGAGAAAAAATCAAATGCAGAGGGCCACCCAAAAACGGAAGCCACCTCGGGCGCCGTGAAGCTGGCTCCTTGCTTGTCTAGCTCAGCCCTAAAATACGGAGCGGAGAAGCTGGCTTTTGCACACCGGAATCGATAAGGTAGGACTTCTTCCTCCAAAACTGTTTCGGTTCGCTCCATATATGTAGTTCGTTCTCCTCGTATGTAGCTCGTACCTTTGTTTGTAAAGTCTATCTAACTCGTTCTCTCTTGGTCGAGCTTCTATGCCCCTTTACTAAGATTAGTCAAGCCGCTAATCCCCAGTCAAACCCAGCCTCTGCTTGGAGGAAGAGATCGGTTCTATTAAGGATTCGTACCCCACCATCTGGACCTCTTCAAGAACTTTTTTTATCTATTTTCCTTTCTTTGACTTTGTATAGAGTCTGACAAGCAACTGCTCCACCTTTCCTTTCAAGTAAAGGGGTGGGACTGAGCAATAGCATGTGAAGCTAGAAGACAAGGCCCATGACCAAACCTTCCTTAGACTTTTTGGTTAGGGAGGAATCCTTTTTTGTAGTAAATTGCTCATGAGCTTTGCTTGCAACCGATGTCCGCCTTGAAAGGGCTTGCGCCATAAGTACTAAGGGAGGCTCCCTTCCGATCCAGGCTCGGTCCTTCTTTGCTTTTCTTAATGGATTGCCAAATCTTAATAGAATTTCCATGCTCTAATCAACAAAAGGAGCGACCAATGAAAAGAGAGTGACAAGTTCTAGGGCGAAGGACTAGGATCCTGGGCTTTTGAACATCAAGCTTGTGCGCATCCCTTCCTCTATTGAGTAAGTAATAAATAAATAAATAAATAACCAGACTCTTACAAGTAAGTAAGAAATTCCCCCTCTCTCTTCATCAAATGGTAAAATAAAATCCTCTGTGGAGTTCGCTAAAGCCCTGGTT